CTGTTGAAATGAAAACTTTTGTATTTTTAACAATTTTGAATGTTTATAATCGTAAACCTGTGATAAAGGTATTCCGTGAAATTTAACGTTTTTGTACAAACAGTAATAAAATAAGTTGCGAAATTATTTTTTTTGTTTAACATGTTGAAATAATTTGTATACTTATATATATATATATATATATATAATTAAGATTGAAAAGACAGTCGAATAAATGATTCTACCATAAGCCCACAACCAAACAAGGAACATGAGTTAAGGGGAAATCACCAATTCTAAGCTTGTAGAATCTTAATTATATATATATATATATATATATATATATATATATATATATATATATATATTGGTAAAAATAACGATTGAAACAGTTTGAAATAGTTGAATATTAACACAAGATTCCTTGCGTTTTACTTGTATTTCCCCCTAAAACATGGAAAAATCGTGAAAACGTAAGGGTATGAACTCACCTCGAGTGTGTGTGTTCCTGGTTGGGTACGATGTGGTAGTGATGTTCTTCGGGTTAGAACACGCAAATATGGTCGAAATCCTAATTTGTTTTGCATCTATCATCTATCATTCTTAATAAAAGAGTAGTTATTCTATGCCACGTGTCATTTTCTCATAATTTTGATTTTTCTTTCTCCTATTTTAAAAATGACATGTGTAATTTTCTATGATTTTACTTTCAAATTTAAATAAAACCGTATTGATTAGCATTTATAGAACAAATCAAATTCGTTATCTCTAATTAATTGGGATTAATTGTAATCCCTTAAGATCACTTGTTTGGCAATTATAACATTCTATTCAAACTTAAAACTCAACTTTTGAACAATTATAACAATCTATTCAAATTCAAAACTCAAACCAATCCATAAATCTTGCATAAATATAGCATGCTAAAGTGAGATTTATGGTCAACTCTCTTTTCAGTCGATTGTCGGTCAAGTCTCTTTTTCTCTCTTTAATCCTTCAAATTATCTTTTCCCTTGAACATTTTGAAATTGATTATGAAGTTCTTATGGGTTTCTCCCCCATGAAGCCGATTGAAATGAGAAATAAAACTCAATGAATCGACACCTACACCAAAGTTGACATCAAACATAACCGTCACCACCACGACTTGCAAATCCCTAATGTTTCTGCTCCTGGATGTCTGTTTTTCACTACAATTGATGATGGTTTTCAGTTTCACACGTTTGAATTTTGGTTTCACAGGTCTTCCCTTTATACTCTTCTCTTCGTTTTGAATTCACCATCTATCTTTCCAGGAGGTAGTTCTTCCTCGAATCACTTTCCTTCACTTTGTTTAACATCGATTTTAAGGTTTCATCAGTTCCTCTCCCCCTTTCCAATAACATGCTTGTTTTTTTATGTGTTCTTGAGTGGAAATGGCGGGAAAAGGTTGTACAAATCGCTTCCTTTCCATCCCAAAGTAAGAAAATAAATTTTACTTTTTTATGTTTGGATAAAATCTCGGTTTATTTTGATCTGTATCTCAGATTGATTGTGTTGTCAATGGAACCTTATGTATATTGTTTTTTTTTTCTCAGGTTACATACAAAAAAGTGATTATGGTTTGATAAAATAGGTATTTTAAGTGTTTGATGTAATGTCCCAAAGAATGTTCTTAGGAAGTTGTTCAATTTTGAATATATTAAATTGATACAAATATTCTTATTTTAACTTGGCTAAATTACACGAATGGTCCTTATGGTTTAGGGTAACTTACGCGTTTGGTCCCTAACTTATTTTTCTAACTCGGAAGGTCCCTACTGTTTGTTTTTGTTACACGCTTGGTCCCTGTCTTACATAAAAAATCTATTTTTCTATTGATTTTTTAATTTATTTAAATAAACACACCCCCAACCCCACCCGCTCACTTTACCTTACTTATCCTACCATTTTTCTCTATTTAAATAATTGTCTTTTTACGTAAGATAGGGACCAAACGCGTAACAAAAACAAACAATAGGGACCAAGCGTGTAGTAATAACAAACAGTAGGGACCTTCCGAGTTAAAAAAATAAGTTAGGGACCAAACGTGCAAATTACCCCAAACCATAGGGACCATTCGTGTAATTTACTCTTTTAACTTCTATGATTGTATAGATTCTTGACATTTCATGGTGAAGGTATTAAACCTAAGGGCAGTTAAATAACCAGGATATTGTCATGTTATTATGTCATAGGGAAGTTACTGTTATGAAGTAAGAGCTTAGAAACTTCTTTGTTGGTGTACTCTTAAAGAAAACTATCTATCATGTTTTAAAATCATACATACTTATAAAGCTAGCATTTTTTCTTGAATCTCATGCATTTGAAACCCCCTTTTTTAACTTCCTCAAACCACATTCATTTGAAACCCCATTTTTTACCCGATTCTCAATTTAATTTCCCTATTTTATACACGCCAACCCTTACCTTCAAAATCATACAACGCTACTTTTCTTTCTCATCATCATCACATCAATTTCTACAATTCTGCAATAGAGACTAAAGACAAACTAGGTTAATTCATATTCAATCAACATTAAACTATCATATTTATTAACAACAATTTTATTTGAATGATTGAACTATTTCTATAAACTTTTGTGTTTGACATTATTATAATCTCAAAGTAGGTTGTCGTTTTCGTAGATTTTCCAAGTTCACCGATCTATCATAATTTTACATAAATAAAAAACATAAATATCTTAATTAATAATTTATTTAAAATAATTGAGTAATACTTATGAGTTTTTACTATAAAAAATTAATTATTTTTATAACTGTGGTTCCTACGGGCTATAACCTAGTACGTAATGTAGATGCAAATTAGATATCTAGTAATTTAAAGTGTTAAATAACACTAGTTTATGTAAGAAGACTTACTAAATTAATTCCAAGAATTAATTGAAAGGTTTGATCTTCCTGGGAAATAATTGATGAAGATATAAAGTTGTTCTTGAGGGTGTTTGAAGATGTACTGGGCAAACTTGAAGATTTGAAGATTACTTTATGAGTCTCGAGAGCAAAAGTGGGACGTTTTTGAAGTGAAAATGAGATTATGGAAGAAGTTTTCGGTTTAGGTATATATATATATATATATATATATATATATATATATATGGGATAATATTGACGTGACACTTACCTTGGAATGTGTATTTTATCCCCTAGAATAATGTGCCACCGCCAAAAATGGGAGATTTCAACCTATCTATACCAAAATCTCATGATTTCGGTCCAATGTATTCCACCGAGAAGTGTTTTCGGTCCGAAGGAGTGGGGTCTCGCAAGGGTTTTCGGTTGGGGTGTTTTCGGTCTCGCATGAAATCACCAAAAGGTGATTTCGGTCCACACTTGAGATTTGATTCCCAAAACCGAAAACACATATAGCAATATAAATTTTCATTTTTAAAATCAAATAATTTTAATTATTTAACCTTTGTTTAATGTAGTTGACTTGCTTTGACTTTGGTTTGACTTGTTTGACTTTTATTGACTTTCTTTGATTTTCATTGACTTGAAATAACTGGTTGTTACACACATTCTTAATATTTAAATACTATGTGACCTTTCCACAAATGATGGTTATAAAATGATAAATGATTTAAATTTGATTTAAACATTGAGTAAAAAAAAGGTGTTTTAGATATGATATCATAACATTTGTTCAAGTGAACTACGAACTAGAATTAATGTTCATATTTGAACTATAAGTGCTCTATATGTATTTGAATACTTTAAGGTAGCTCACTTACCTTAGTTTAGAAAGTGAGATTTTATGAGTTTAGGTTTCAAATTGTTTAATTATTAGATTAGAACTAACATGTAAAATTTCTGACAATGGGTTCAGGTTTCTAATTGTAAACCTACCACCGGAAGAAAGGGTTTTGGCTTTCCACAAGATGAGCTTAGCCTTGAACCTATCTACCTCAAGGGTCAGTTCTTGTCAAGTTTCATGTTTTCCCCAATTTGTAGTCCAAGACAAGTAAACAAGAATTTTGAGGCCTCATAAATCACAATTGAGATGATTTTCCAAGTTCGTGACTTGAACATCTTTTGTCTCGATACCAAAAACTTTGGTTTTATTATAAATGACATTTAACCCGGAGGATAGGTAAAAGTATCGAATAATTCTCTTGATATTTAGGAAGTTAACCGGTGACCATTCTCCTAAAATCATGATGTCATCAACATATATAAAATTGGACCGAATCAGCCCATTATTAGGAAGGGGTAAACCATGAAAAATTTCTTTTGCACAAACATTTTTCATTACCAATTAAGTGCGGATGATAAACAATAAATGTAATATAATGTCTCATTGTCTAAGAGCATCCACGATGCAAGTAGTATAATAGTTGAATAGGGTGATGACTAGGATTGAATAAGAATTTAATGGAATGTGAGTGATGACATGGAGTAGAGTTGAATGGAAGAGTTGAATGATCATTGAATGGTTCAATAGAAGGAATAAAGTGGTGATTAGAATTGAATATGTGTTTAATGAGTTATGAGTGGTGTTGTATAGATGTTTAATGGATGATGTGACAATCCAATGATCCATTGAACTTTATATGCCCTAACACCTCACTTTAAGGGGAATTCTTTGGGGGTAATTAGGACCTATTGACCAACACTAATGCCCTATGTAAGGCTCCTGGAAATCCACCTTCTCCAGTGAGACCCAAAATTCATACGATAAAGTACACAAAGAAAAAATAGTTTAAGTTGGAAATTAAAGATTAGGGTAATTCTCATATATATTTTTGCTCTTTTTAATTGTATTCATGCAATTAGCTTCTTGCTAACTACTTACGATTTTTAATAAAACTAGATTAATCTTTTTTTTAATATAGAATTTTGCATCCGTCCATCTCATACCCTTTTTGCATAACCGGGAATATTCAATTGGTTGATGTGGCCTGGGGTCACGTGGTAATCAACCGCGGTTATTGGAGTTGAAAATGAAATCATGTTGTGTTGTTAGGTGGCTCTTCTTCAATCCTAAATCCTCAATCTCATACATACTTTTCTCTTTTTACGAATTTCATTCTTAATTATTTTGCTGTTTAAAATATCTCCTGCATCGAAATTAGAAGCCACCAAACCAAAAACAACCAAACTTTCAACTTCACACATGGAAGAAAATTCTTCCGATGAGATCCGAGCTCCGCTCATACAACCTGTCTACAACGACGGAGATGCCTCTCTTCCGTCATCCTCGTCACCGTCGGACATGACAGGACTGAAGAAGATGGAGGAGGAGGAGAATTCTCCGATCAAGCAGGTGGCGTTGACCGTACCTACCACCGACGATGCATCCCTTCCAGTTCTCACCTTCCGAATGTGGGTCCTTGGGACGCTTTCATGCGCCCTTTTATCTTTCCTCAACCAGTTCTTCTGGTACCGAACCGAGCCTCTTAGCATCACCGCCATCTCCGCTCAGATCGCCGTCGTTCCACTCGGTCAACTCATGGCGGCCAGAATCACTGATCGTGTGTTCTTCAAAGGGTCACGTTGGGAGTTCACCATGAACCCCGGCCCATTCAATGTGAAGGAACATGTGTTGATCACCATATTTGCAAACTCGGGAGCAGGGACTGTGTATGCGATTCACGTGGTTACAGGTGTGAAGATCTTCTACAAACAGCAGATGACTTTCTTTGTATCATTGATCGTTGTTCTTACCACTCAGGTATCATCATCATCATTAATTCCTCCATATATAATTGTGCTCCGTCGCAACTTGATAACATAAACAGATAAGTAAATCTGGATCATAGTTATACATGGCGTTTGATTGAATCTGATGATGAGGAGTGGTGGTTGTGGTTGTGGTTGTGGTTAGGTGCTGGGGTTTGGATGGGCTGGAATATTCAGAAGGTATCTGGTGGAGCCAGCTGAGATGTGGTGGCCATCTAATCTCGTCCAAGTTTCGTTGTTCAGGTAATTAACCACATCTTTAACTAACCATATTCATTAGATACTTTTTAATTATGAAATAACAAAAATTGGATTCAAATTTTAATATTAAGCAAGGTTGAAAAGGTTATAAAATTTCTATACGTATTAAAAATGATTTTGGATAAACCAATAGCTAATTAATAAGTCAAAGACGTGGGAAGCTAAAAATATATATACATGTTGAAATTAAATTATTGTGTGTATAAAAAGAAGATGACAATTATTAATACTCGTGTTGGTCATGTGGAACGGGTTCACTTTGTTTAGTACAATTGAAATGTGAAAGAGATGATTAGATCATTTACTTCATTCAAACGAAAAATAAAATGTGTTATTATACGTATCCATCACTCAAATAATAAGATTGAAATGTGAAAGAGATGATTAGATCATTTACTTCATTCAAACGAAAAATAAAATGTGTTATTATACGTATCCATCACTCAAATAATAAGATTGAAATGTGAAAGAGATGATTAGATCATTTACTTCATTCAAACGAAAAATAAAATGTGTTATTATACGTATCCATCAATCAAATAAATTCTCAAATAATAAGATACACATTATTTCACTCAAAAAAGAGGTACACAAAGCAATTTTAGGGTACATATAAAATTTCTCAAAATATAATCCGAATTGATTTGCATTTTCATGATTAAATGATGTTTTATCATTAACTTTATAAAAATTTATGATTCTTAACAAAACTATAACAAAGGCAAAAAATTTAACACTACAACGGCGTCATATATATGATCAATACAAAAATTGTAACCGAACCAAAAACATAAACCCTAAGAAACTGATCTTGTTAAATTAAAAAAATCGGTATTGTTTGACGGTTTTTCATTTTAATTTTGGGTTTCGGATATCTTTTACACCTTAATATCGGTATATAATATTGAAAATACTCCTTCACTTCCTTAAAGTATATTTCTCCTTTCTCGATAAACATGTCTTAATTAATATATGACATTTTTTATTTGTTTAAAGATGAATCTACATGCATAAAAGTCTCATACTTACTTTATATATATATATATATATATATATATATATATATATATATTTTGATTTTCTAATATGTGCCCTAAGGGCACATATAAGAAGTATTAATTATGAAAAATATTACCATAATTAAATGTGAAATTCGTTAATTATGGAGATTATTAATGAATTTTATATTTAATTATGGTAATATTTCTTATAATTAATGTATTTAACATTTAATTATGGTAATAATTGTGATTAATTAATAATTCTTATATGTGCCTTAGGACACATATTAGAAAATCCCATATATATATATATATATATATATATATATATATATATATATATATATATATATATATATATATATATATATATATAGAGAGAGAGAGAGAGAGAGAGAGAGAGAGAGAGAGAGAGAGAGAGAGAGAGAGAGAGAGAGAGAGAGAGCGCGAGAGCGAGAGCGAGAGAGCGAGAGAGCGCTTTTTTTGAATTGCGTAAGTTAAAAGAGTTGACGTAATGTTGCAAATTTGATTTTCTATTATTTGCTTGAAGTGTACAAAAAGACGTGACACCCATGAGTTGACATGAACCAAGTGATATTCTATTTCCATTTTGTAGTTGCTTCCTCACTCACGTTAATAGTTAATACGATACCCATTAGTTTAACAACATCATATTTCAAGGACCAATTATTAGTTTAAGTTATGCTTTATTATTGAAATTGATTTTTATTCATTGATTAATAGCAAGAGGACTCATTGGAAGTAAAGGCAACCCTTCATAATCCCAAAAATAGAGTATTCGTCATTTACTAATGCATGTATTTTAAATTAAAGATGTAATTGCTATTTTACTAATGCATTTAATATATTTTAATCATTTAAGGTAAAAATTTATAATTTTTATCATTTAAGTAAAATTAACCATTTGAGTATAAGGCACTGGTCACTATTGTAATTTATCATTAATTTTACGTGATGTTCTATTAAATGGTAAAAGATTGTGACTCTGATTCGTACACTATTTTTTTATCCGTACACAATAATTTTATAAAACAAAAATTGTTGTGCAAAGAGAAAATGTTATGTACAAATCGTTTAAGTAGTAAAAAAATGATATTATTAAATATCGCCTACTCAATGTAAGAGTTGAGGACCTTGAGTACATAATATCTAAATTCTAAAAGTATGTTTATGGTACAAAACTGGAATGCAAATAAATATACTAGTGTTTCTTGATTTTGTCTCCACCATGATGAGGGCCTAGCTAGAGAGGATTCGAAGTATACTATGGTTTTTCAAAAAATAAAATAAAAGAAAAAGAAAAAAGTATCGACTTACAACTGATTAATTACAACACCTTATTTTTATTTTTTACCTTAGTTTTATGCATAAAAATGGATGAATATAATAATAACTCTAGTGTTATTTATTTATTTATTTATTTACACATTTTTCTATCACTTTCATAAATTTAATGATAAATTTTAAAAAAATGGGCTCTGAGAAAATTTATGATCGACACGTTCATATACACTTATTCAGTTATTTGCACTGCGTTTTTTAGTTTTTCAAGGAATGGAGATAAAAAAATGTGAATTATTAGAGAGAGAAAAATGAGAGTTACTACTAACATACTTATTGTATTGGTTCTATGTAAAACGTTTTATACGATTCAAATAAAATTTAAGTTTTCTAATCGATCAATAAACATGATTTCATGATTTTGAAGTGCACCCACTAAAACATATTTAATTATGAAATGTCAATATGAATAACGTGTACCTTTCAATAAACTAATATAACAATTATACCTGAAATTCAAAACTTGATTTGCAAATGTAGTAGTTTACCAAATTCAAGCAACAAAATTCAAAGGTGCTTGTCTTCTGGTGCATGGAAATAAAAATGTAAAACGTGATTATTATTATTATTATTATTATTATTATTATTATTATTATTACAAATTTAACCATTTTCCTTAATTACTTTGTAAAAAATAGAAAAAAAAAACAAATTACAAAATTAGCCACCAAAATCACAGATGGATTAAAGTCATCTACGATTTTGTCATTTGATCTGCAAATATACAAATGTTTAAAACGTGGGCGTGCATTGGCAGTTGTACGTTCACAGATGCAACATCAGAGGAAATCGTAGATTAACTTAGTTCATCTGCGATTTCCTCTGATGTTTCATCTGCATTTTTGGACAATTTTTTTAAATTTTGACTATGAAAATTATAGGGTTTGACTACGATTTTATATGAAATCGTTCATAGCTACCGATTTTTGCCTCTAGAGAGAGTTCTTCAAACAAAAACATTGTAAAATGAAAGCTAAAAAAATTAGGTATTTTGTACCCTCAGAATGTCAAAATCGTAGATCAACTAATAAAATCGCAGTCCATCTGCGAACGTACAACTGTCAATGCACGCCCACGTTTTAAACACTTATACATTTGCAAATCAAATGTCAAAATCGCAGATGGTTTTAATCCATCTGTGATTTTGGTGGCTAATTTTGTAATTTTGGTTTTTTTTGCTATCTTTTACAAAATAATTAAGGAAAATGACTAAATTTGTAATGTTCTATTATTATTATTATTATTATTATTATTATTATTATTATTATTATTATTATTATTATTATTATTATTATTAAAACTTATCTGAAATAATAAAAGAATAATGTTCAAACTCTAGAAAAAATTTCGAAGTGGACAAAACTCAAAAGTATAAGGCACCATCCAAACATCATGAAAATGACAAATATGTATAATTGCATGCAACTAGTGAGTAATATCTTGATCATTGGTCCAATTTCCCTTTCCTTGACTATTTTTCTACCACATAAAATTCAAAAAAGAATTCAACCATAGAAGAAAATAGATTTTGGTTATTTTGAACTGTTTAACAATTGTGAATTAAAATTGTCTATAGAACTATTCAATTTTGATATAGAAACCACTTTGACCTGTTATATAATGTTAAAATGGTCATAATATAGAAAATTGTCAAAGTTTAGTGTTTTTATTGTAAAATAATGTTCAAAATGATCTGCAAACCATAAAATTGAACAAAATATAACTGGTTATATATATTGTTCTCATTTATATTAATTATTATATCATTTTTATTTTATTTTAACAGGGCTTTACATGAGAAAGAAAAACGACCCAAAGGGGGATTAACACGTACCCAATTCTTCCTGATTGCCTTCATTTGTAGCTTCGCATACTACATATTCCCTGGTTATCTTTTCCAAATGTTAACGTCTCTCTCATGGGTCTGTTGGATCTTCCCTTCATCAATCATGGCCCAACAAATAGGATCCGGACTCCATGGGCTTGGAATAGGTGCTATTGGGCTCGATTGGTCCAGTATCTCTGCATACCTCGGAAGCCCATTAGCAAGCCCATGGTTCGCCACCGCCAATGTCGCCGCCGGTTTCTTCATGGTCATGTATATCGTCACTCCCCTCGCCTACTGGTTCAACATCTACAACGCCAAGAACTTCCCCTTCTTCTCCGATGGCCTATTCACCGCCGACGGCCAAGAATACAACATTACAGCCATCATCGACGAAAATTTTCACTTCGATAACGACGCTTATCAGAAAGAAGGTCCTCTCTATCTTAGCACTTTCTTCGCCATGACTTATGGCGTCGGATTCGCTGCTCTCTCCTCCATGGTCGTTCATGTCTTTCTGTTCCATGGAAGGTACGTAATAATGTTATAAACCGATCATATCATTGTACTTTTATGATGATCTTGAAATAGATTCTAATTTCTAGATTGTTTTGTTAATCATGCATATATAGTGAGATATGGGAGCAAAGCAGATCGAGTTTCAAAGATAGAAAAATGGATATACACACAAGACTCATGAGCAAATACAAACAGGTTCCTGAATGGTGGTTCTGGTGTATACTCGTTGTGAACATTAGTCTCACTGTATTCGCTTGCGAGTATTACAACGATCAGCTCCAGTTGCCATGGTGGGGTGTCATTTTAGCTTGTGCGATAGCCATTTTCTTCACTCTCCCAATCGGCATTCTCACAGCCATTACTAACCAGGTAAGCTTCATCTTCTCCGGCGATTTGAATTTCTTATTTTTTCCGGCATCTAACCTCACGGGTTTCAATTCAGGCTCCAGGATTGAACATCATCACAGAATATATAATCGGGTACATTTATCCAGGATATCCAGTCGCTAATATGTGTTTCAAGGTGTACGGCTACATCAGCATGACGCAAGCAGTGACTTTCCTGCAAGATTTCAAGCTGGGACATTACATGAAGATCCCACCAAGATCTATGTTCATGGCACAGATTGTGGGAACCCTGATAGCGGCGTTAGTGTACTTATGCACTGCATGGTGGTTAATGGAGACGATTCCGGACATCTGTACACCGGCATCTGACGTGTGGACTTGCCCAAGTGACCACGTGTTCTACGATGCTTCAGTGATATGGGGTTTGATTGGTCCACGGAAGATCTTTGGAGACCAAGGAACCTACACCATGATCAACTGGGCTTTTCTGATGGGAGCAATAGCTCCGGTGCTGGTGTGGTTTGCCCACAGGGCTTTTCCGACGCAACATTGGATCACACTGATAAACATGCCGGTGTTGATTGGTGCAACGGGGAGTATGCCACCGGCTACGGCGGTGAACTACACAGCTTGGATATTTGTAGGGTTTTTATCGGGATTTGTGATGTTTAGATATAGGCCGGATTTGTGGCAACGTCATAATTATGTGTTGTCAGGGGCGTTGGATGCAGGGTTGGCGTTTATGGGAGTGTTGTTGTATCTTTGTTTAGGGTTGGAGAACATTAGTTTGGATTGGTGGGGGAATGATCTTGATGGCTGCCCTCTAGCGTCTTGCCCTACAGCTCCTGGTGTTTTCGTGGACGGTTGCCCTGCTTTGCAATACTGAATGAATCTGAGGTTGTTTATCCAAATCCCATCAAATGATGTGTTTATGTGAATCCAATGTTTACAAACCTGTGATTTAATTTGCTCCATCAGTTCATACATTCCTTTATATATCATGACACAATTTGGTGTCCTGTTAAGACGGTTGACAATGTAATTAAATTATTTATTATTGTTAGATATTTATGTAATGGATTTATACATGTTTAAAGAAGATTATATCTTAATTTTAATACAGGCTTGAAGGTCTGGCTCGTTGATATCTGTACAAGGGCAGGGTCAAGGTGCCATGCCCTTGGTGGGCCCGCATTACAAGAATAAGTAGCTATAGAGATGTAACCTACAGGGACGACAAAAGTCGTTGCTATAGTAGACCTATAGGGACGACATGTCGTCTCTATAGGGCTAACCAATTTTTTTTAGCGGTTACTTTATAAGGACAAGTTGTTGTCTCAATAGATTACGCGGGAACTTTGTCGGGTTTGTGAAAAGCTATAAAGACGATACTTCGTTCGTACAGATCTAAGATTTTTTCCCCTTTTTATCTTCCGCTATTCACAACAACAATTACAAAAGTCAAATACCAATTGTTTCTCTTCCTTGAAATGGATTTGTCGGATATTGCAAGGAAGTTAGGGCTTAAGGAATCGAAGCAAGATGTTTGTAAAGCAGTTGAGCTCTGTCACATCTCCGATCTTCAATTTGATTCATCTAATGCCGAAATCGTAAGTTGTTTGCCCCTATGACGATTTTTTCATTTACTGTAGAAAGCATGTTCTATTTGATCGTCACACCGCAATAAAAGTTAGTGGGATGTATGAAAAGCCTTACTTTACATCTTTCATTGTGATGTATAACCGAATTGGTGTCAAGTATGTTTTCATATCTTTTGTTTTCCATATCATCATCATGCTTTTTATGTAATTGATATGTATAATGTATCAGATCAAACATTAAACAATCATTTCGTGATGAATTACATGAATCGACTTGATATTAGGGAATTAGCTATTCAATTTGGATGTGCTGCCATTTTAGAGCTACCTGCTAAAGTGGTTCTATTAAATTTACTGGCATAAGGTGATTTAGAGAAGATCCTGATTCATCAACAATTCAATATTGTTCAATTCAAGAACCGGATTGTAAATATCTTCATATAATTTACAAATGAATAAACCTATTACAATACCATAGTGAACCTCAAGTAGCCTATCAGAACTACTTTGGGAAAGTATGTGAATCATTGTAGATACTCTTAGCATCTGTACAATGAACTTTTGAGACAACTTCAACTTTACAAGTTGACTTGAAATTTTCTATCATATTGCTCGTCCTTAAAAAGGCTTCTTATCCATCAATCAATGTTCAGACACAACGTAATTTCATTTATTTGAATCTAATATTGTTCCATGTTACAGTCAGTAGTTGAAAATTTTCTGGAATTCAGTCCAAACTAAACTGATCGTTCTTCTCATCTTCTAATACCTTGCAGGCATCCTACACACAATTTTCTTTCATTGAGCATTAGGTCTGGTACGACCCAAACACATTGATTTACAACTCATTGAAATTACATATGTAAGTAGCATCTACATCCTTAATTGATACATATGTCCTCTTCATTTATTACTTCATCCATGATGGTATGATGATGCATCTGAGGATCCATATTACTTAATGCTGGAAACTTGTTTTTGTAGGTGCAATGTGGTGATGCAGAGCTTTAGGGGTGTAATTGAGTCGAGCTAATCGTGAGCTACTCGGGATCGACTCGTTAAAAGCTCGACTCGAGATCGAATTAAACGAGCCTGAGCCGAGCTCGAGCTTAAATATGAGGCTCGTTTGTTAAACGAGCTCGAGCCGAGCTTCAATTCATGGGCTCGCGAGCCTAAACGAGCTTAAACAAGCCTATACATACATACATACGTACATACATACATACATACATACATACATATATATATATATATATATATATATATACACACACACATAGAGGCTCGTTTAGGCTCGATTAGGCTCGCGAGCCCACTAAATTGTTCACGAGCCGAGCTCGAGCTTCTTTTTAAGGCTCGAATCGAGCTCGAGCTTCCTCAAAATTAAACGAGCCGAGCTCGAGCTTGATCAGGCTCGGGCTCGGCTCGGCTCGTTTACACCCCTACAGAGCTTGAAAAGAAAGTAGATGGGAAGATTGATAAGTTCATTGATAGAGTAGAGAAACACCCAAACAAGAAAAAATAGGCACACATTAGTACATTACAATCTTTTCAGAAAAAAAACTTACAAAAATTTTCACTTACATCCAAAATTTATATTGATGCATATATGTTTATCTTTCATATATCATAAGTCATTTCACATACTTGCTCTCTTACGAGCTACTGCTAACCGTTCAAAGCTTGTGTTCACAGTTGCAGGGTTTTAATTGTGTGCTAAAAAGCATAAGGTATGACTTAATGGTTTAAGCATTTTTTCATCCTTTTGATACTAATTTGGTTACTTTTACAGCTCAAAGTTGATTGAACTTTCTAGCACATCTGAAGATGGTTTTTTAAGTGTAAGAAGCATTTATAATATTTCTTGTTATTATCATTTCCCAAGTACAAATACCAGCCCTCTCTCCTTATCCATCCAAATATAGGTAAGAAGAAAATGATTATCGGCCCTATCTCCTCTTTAACTAGTTGGATTTCTTGAATTTTATGGGGGTTTTCAAGCTTTTTACTTAGGTTTTTGTTGAATCAGGGGAAAGATGAGCTAATGTCTTTTATGTTTTGTAAGTGTAATTTTATACTTTAATGTGTGTATAATTCCTTCAATCATATTTTTCATTTATTCTGTGTAAGTATGAGACTTTTATGATATGCATATATTTTAATATGTTAATTGCTTTCCAGATTGCAAGAACTTTATGTGGAAATTAAGAGCTTATGTCATTCAATCTGTGAGTGTTAAGTTCTAACCTATACCAAATAAGATAACTTCATAAATATGTTTCCAAAGTTATTGTATTTGGCTATTTAAGTGTATGTGTCATTTCACTGTGTTGGTTTTGGTGAAGGCAATGAAGAATTCAAGAAGTGCTTCAGATCTTTTTAAAGCATATGGTGATAAGTAATTGTATTTGGTTGCTTCTAACAAGCATCAGGTGACAAGATTGTGCATCTATGGGATTTCCATGTTTTTATGTTTGATTTTGTTAATTAGTTTCTAATTATTGGTGGATTATATGGTTTTTCTTTGCTTCCTTGTTATAGTTCCCTAATTAATAAAACATCATCTTATATTTGTTATTGTTGTTTTTATGTTTTGCTTCAAAAGTTGCTTTTTATGTTGTGATGGTGTTTGTTCAACTGCACATGGGAAAAAGGGTGTGAGAAAAGTGGAAAATTTTCAAAAGTCTGTGGGCATACCTATAGAGACGACATGTCGTTTCTATAGGTGCAACTATAGAGACGACACATCGCCTCTACATGTCCATCAACTATGACGATGTGTTGTTGCTATAGGATGTCACATGGTATCTGAAATAGTTTTATGTATGGAGACGACATGTCGTCTCTATAGTTGTATCTATGGAGACGACATGGCATCTCTATAACTTTATCTATGGAGACCGGAAACATATAGCGATGAACCAACATGGACAATTTGTCATCTCTAAAGGTAGCCTATTAATATCTATAGCGACGGAAAAAGCTATCTATTGCGACGGGGCTATGGCAACGAGAGCTATAGGGACGACATGTCGTCTCGGACACCTATAGGGATGAATTTTGAACATATAGAGACGACAGTTGTCGTCCCTATAGGTCACGTTTCTTGTAGTGCCGATCAGCAAGTTAGAAAAAATACGAAATTACTGGAGGGACCTTAATATGAATTATTGAATTTTAAGGGGTTCCAACGTAACTACGTATGGTCATCAACCCATAACTGTCTTGTCTAAATGAGGCTTATCGGATAAAACTAGTTTTCGAATTCTGGGAGATATACTAGAAAATGTAGACATTTTGAGACACATCAAATTCTCTCTCACTATTGATCGACCTTCTGTGTTTAGAACTTCGATTGTTCCTTTAAGAATTATCATAGGTCAAAATTCACGTAACCCAGGCATAGGGAGAAATATCTATTTGGAGAGTGAACCGACATAATCTTTGAAGTAATCCAATGATCATCATATTATGTTTCTACCCTAATTCTAACAATTATTCGATTTGTTCCGGTGTTTAATAACAATTATCTCAATCAATAGGTATCTTTCGATACACTTAATCAAAATAGGGTACATTAAGGTGTTGTTTGTTTTTTCCGAGGCAAAATGTCTACTGTAGACCATATCTGCAGAGCTCTACAGTAGAAGAGGTGGATCAAACGTCTACAATCTGAAAGAAGAAAATTGTTTGTTTTTTTTAACATCTACAGACTGCTAAAATCTAAATAAACTGATTTTTTTTAAACTTAAAAGATTTTTCAATACTTTTATAACTTTATTATAGACGATTAACAAATCTAGATCAACTTTTATGTATTATTGTATAAAAAGTGAAAATAAAATTGTACGAATTAATGTATATATTTGATAAAAGCCAACAAATTTTGTTGCGAAGTTTTACATAAACATTGTAATTAGAGATCAAAAAATTTGACACATAAAATGGATGGAAATAAACTTCGATTTTAAAATGAAAATTTTCATTTTAAGTTTTCAATTAAATCAGTTAAAAACTTACTATAAATATTTTTCTCAAGAAATGGATGATATTAGATTAAATAATGTTTTATAAAATTTGGTACAAAAAATATAAGATAATATTAGGATTTTTTTTATATGTTATAATAAACAGCTCCAACCACCATTATTATAATTAAATTTTTATTTATAAAGTTGTCACAAATGTCATGTTTGTATCGTCAAACCTTTTTTTTTAAAAGTATTGTAGTTTTTTTTCCAAAATTTTTTATCATAGATAAAATTGAAATAAATCTAATTTAAAAAAAAACAAACAAAGATATATGTGTTTTTTAAGGCTAGAAGTTGTTTGAAGAAGTTAGAAGACTTTGGTCCACATCTGCGCTAGGAAGAGGATGCACAGACTTTTTTAGGTCTGCAGTCTTAAAAAAAAACAGTCTGCGAATGCTAATGTTTGTGCGTGGTCTGCACGATGCAGACAGAAGAGGCAAAGA